TTACATTAAAACTAAGTTATGTTTGTGAATTTGATTTAATTTAAAAGTGCAAAAGACGATTTAAGTTTTAATAATAAAAATAGTAAAGCATGAACATTTAATTGTCGATTCTCTGTTTTAGGTTAGTATTTCATTAGTTGATATTGGTTATGTAAAATTTATCTGTATTTACTTAAATAAAACTCTGTTTTAGATGAATCACATTGTGTTATGCTTCACGAAAAAATCCTGATATTATAAATCGACAATTCATATACATGTGAAAAAAAATAAAAATAAATAATTGTTAACCTATACAATGGAGAAATTAAGATTTGAATTTATGATAAAAGCCAAACCGGATGATAATAAGACAAATATGTATGCCATAACCTCCATTATGGATACACAAAACCAAACTTTTGTTGTGCCTAGGGAGTATCAATCAGTGCATTTACACAAAGAAATATTAAAGCATGAAATATTTGACAAAATAAAAAAATCTCTCCAGAAAAGGCATGATAAGAGACAGGTTTGGATAACATTAACCAAGGAAATGAAATCAACATATTTAGATGATGACAACTTACAATTTGATGGGTTTTTACTTGAAAAATTAGAACAAAGTCATGAGTTGTCATCAACAGAACCAACATTATTAAAAACAGAAAATAAGACGAGATTAGTAACAGAATTTTCAATAGAGAAGTTTTCAAGAAATACAACAAATGTTAAACAATGGTTAAATACTTTTGAAAGTGAATGTACACGTTTACAAATAGATACAGATTTACAAAAAGTAGAAATTCTAAGATTATTATTGGAAGATACTTGTATAGATTGGTACACCTCAATGATTATTAAACATACTATAGATTCAGATTGGTCTGTTTGGAAGAAAAGTTTAAGTGAAACATTTGCTGATAAAGGCTGGTCGCCAATCAGGTACGCTATGAATTTTAAATATATACAAGGATCAATGTTAGAATATGCTCTCAAAAAAGAGAGATTGTTACTAGAAATAAACAAATCAATAGATACACAGACCATGATTTATTTGATTGCCACCGGTCTACCAAACTTCATAATGGATAGAATAGATAGAGAAAGCCTTAAAGAAGTAAATGACTTGTATAACTGCATAAGAGGACTAGAGAGTTTAACGAGGAAAAATGACACAAAGAAAAACTTAACCACAGGAAATAAATACAATAAACAAGAAATAAAACAAACTGAAAAAAAATCATGCAGGATTTGTGAGAATAAAGGAAAATTAAATAGATTTCATCCAGAGAATATTTGCTGGTATAACTATGGAAAAAAAATAACAGATGACAAAAACCTTAATTCTAATTCAATATTAAAAGTTGAACTGAGTAATGAAGATCCAAAAAACTAAAATTCCCTCCACTAATTGAGATTACAGTGATGTTAAATAATACATTAGAAGCCAAGGGACTGTATGACCCTGGTTCACGAATAACATTAATAAATTCAAAACTGGTTCAAGTTACAAATATGAAGCCAAATTATTGTAATAACACTATAAAAACAATAAGTGGAGGAGGTAAAACTAAAGGGTTAATTACACTAGATGCGGAGTTATTGCATAAGAAGATAAAAATAAATGCATTTATCTTTGAAAATGAAAATTTTGAGTATGATCTAATATTAGGATTAGATTCAATACAGAAATTTGGGTTGACTCATGATGAGAATTTAAATATCCAAATACAAAAAACAGACAATTTCAAAATAAGTAGTAAAAATATGTTTGAAGATAAACAGATTGAGAATATGGAAATAAATATAGAAGAAAAAGAATATGCAGTAAACTTTAATGAAGGTATAGATACAAACAAATTTAATATAGATACAGAATACTTAAATACTGATCAAAAAAAACAGATAAACATATTATTGGATAGTTATATGGAAATTTTTGCGAAAAATAAATATGACACTGGAAAAGTGAAGAAGTATGAAGCTTGTATAGATTTACAAGTTGAAAAATATTGTTATAAAAGACCATACAGATGTTCAGTCCAAGACAAGATAGAAATAGAAAATCAAATCTCACAACTTTTAAAACATGAATTGATCGAAGAATCTTACAGTCCGTTTGCAGCACCTGTTACCTTAGCTTTTAAAAGGGACGAAGGAAAAAAAAGTAGATTATGCATAGACTTCAGAGATTTAAATAAAATAATTATACCTCAGTCACAACCATTTCCACTCATAGAAGACTTAATAACAAAAACAATAAATTGTAATTATTTTACAACTCTGGATATAAATTCAGCTTTTTGGTCTATTCCTTTAAAAATTACAGACCGATACAAAACTGGTTTTGTAACTCAAGAAGGTCATTACCAATGGACCTGTTTACCCTTCGGCCTTAAGACATCACCAGCTATATTTCAACGGATTCTAGGAAATATTATAAGAAAAAATGGTCTGACAGGATTTGCAGTGAATTTTATTGATGATATACTGATCTTCTCTAAAACATTTGATGAACATATCACACACTTAAAAAAAATTGCTGGAGGCTATTCGAGAAGAAGGTTTTAGGCTAAAATTAACAAAATGTAAGTTTGCATGTGATTCTGTTAGGTATTTAGGTCATATATTACAAAAGAATACGATTACACCTCTAAAAGACAATTTAAAATCAATAAAAGATTTCCCTGCTCCTCAAAATAGAAGACAAATACGACAATTTTTAGGAAAAATAAATTTTTATGGAAAATACATTCCGAATGTCTCAATAGTTCTTGACCCTTTACATAAATTGCTGAGAAAAGATCAGAGATTTAATTGGACAGAACAGTGTGAGGATGCATTCCGGAAAGTTAAAGATTTTCTATGTTCCAAACCAATACTAGCCATTTATGATCCAAAAGCACCAATATTTATTTATACTGATGCCAGTGCCATAGGAATAGGAGCAGTTTTGAAACAAATTCAGCACAATGGCGAAGAAAAACCGGTAGCATATTTTTCTAAAAAAATAAATGAATCACAAAAAAATAAAAAAGCGATATTTTTAGAATGTTTAGCCATAAAAGAGAGCATAAAGTTTTGGCAACATTGGTTGATTGGAAACCATTTTACTGTCTATACAGATCACAAACCTCTAGAGAAGTTAAATATAAGAAACAGACCTGACGATGAATTAGGCGATATGTCACATTATCTGTCACAATATAATTGTGAAATTAAATATTTTCCAGGAAAAAATAACACTGAAGCAGATTGTCTCAGCCGAAACCCAGTATTGGACATTGATGCAAATAATGAAGATAACTTAAGAACAGTAAATATTATTGATATTCATGACATAAAATATGATCAAGCACAAAATTTGCAAATAAAAAAACTAGAAAAAAACATGATTTTAGAAGATGGAATTTATTATAAAAAAAGTGGAAAAAATAGGAAAAAAATAGTTCTAAGTGAAGATTACAGTAAAACTATAATAAGGAAGACCCATGAAAAATATTGTCATACTGGAATAAATCAAACAGAATCTAAAATAAAACCCTTTTATACTGCACCAAATCTATCAGAAAATATTAAATATATATGCAAAAACTGTGAGATATGCATAAAAAATAAAACAAGGCTAAATAGAAAATATGGCTTTATGTCGCAATTAGGCCCAGCCAATAAACCCTTTCAAATAATGTCACTGGACACAATAGGAGGATTCGGGAGTCGAAGATCAACAAAAAGATATTTACATCTACTAGTAGACCATTTCACTAGGTACGCATATATCCTATGTTCTAAGAATCAACATGCTCGTGACTTCATCAAACTTATAGAAAAAATTCCTAAGGAAGAAACAATAGACATCTTACTCTCTGATCAATATCCAGCTATTAATTCGATTGAATTCAAAAATTACCTTAAGAACCGAAATATTCAATTAATTTTTACAGCGGTAGACGCACCGTTCTCAAACGGTTTAAACGAAAGGCTAAACCAGACTATTGTGAATAAAATAAGATGCAAAATTAATGAATCAAAAGGAAAAACAAATTGGTCAAAAATAGCAGAAGAATGTAGAAATAGATACAATGAAACAAATCATTCTGTAACAGGATTTTCTCCTAGGTATTTGCTATCTGGCGAGTCTACAGACTTGTTACCACATGAATTAAAAGAAAAACAGTTATTAACAAAAAATTTAGAAGAAGACAGGAAAATAGCACTCCGAAGGTCAATAAAATCGCATGAATATAATAAAAATTTATTTGCCAAGAATAGAGTTCAACATGAATTTAAAAAAGGAGATAAGGTATATGTTGATTATGGAAACAGATTAAACAAAAAAAAGATGGATGAAATCAGAATTGGTCCCTTTGAGATTGAAAAAAAGATATCGGATTCAGTTTTTAAAATAAATACTGGTCGTGGTACAAGATCTATTGGACTATATCATGTCACAAAGCTCATTCCTATGCTTGTTGATTTTTAGATTTTGTAGCTAAATTTTACTCAACTTAAGTTGAAAAAATTTACTTTTCGAAGGAGGGTGATGTAAGCTTTGTGTTGACACTGACATTGACATTAGAGTGTCAGGTCTCTTTTTCCAATCGAATAATAACGTATAGTTAAATTACAAATGTTGTTTAATAATTACATTAAAACTAAGTTATGTTTGTGAATTTGATTTAATTTAAAAGTGCAAAAGACGATTTAAGTTTTAATAATAAAAATAGTAAAGCATGAACATTTAATTGTCGATTCTCTGTTTTAGGTTAGTATTTCATTAGTTGATATTGGTTATGTAAAATTTATCTGTATTTACTTAAATAAAACTCTGTTTTAGATGAATCACATTGTGTTATGCTTCACGAAAAAATCCTGATATTATATATATATATATATATATATATATATATATGCATATACCTACATATAATATAAATTTAATATCAGCTATTTTAAAAAGATATTATTAAATGTTATTATTAGTTATTATTAAATTAAAATAAACTAATAATAATCTAACGTTTAGTACGTTGATATATTACAAAAAAAAGACATATAGGTACATACGTATTTAAACCGTCCGAATGTGAAGACTGTGGTGGAGGCCAGCGATGGATATGCGCTCGCCACATCATTTGACGAAATGTCATCCGAAACTGTCGCGACATCGCGCAGTAAAGCACAAAATTAATTGCCCCATTTAGCAGCGCAAGCGCATCCATTAGTTCACCAAATAAGTCATAGCAGCGTTTGAAAAAGCATCGACCTAATGCTCCACTCAACAATCCCAAGACCCCTTGAGGCAACTCTGTCACCAGAAATAGCAACAACACAGCGACTAACATCTTCGTAGTTCTATTTGTTCTCTTATCACCTTTACATTGACGCTTTAATATTGTATCGTTTGTTGGACACGCGTTGTAAACTCTTATCTTTTTTTGGTGCTCATTCGCGCTGTACACCTCCCGTATAAGCCATAAACTTATCACCGTCAGTATGAAACAAGGTAGCAATTTGATGACGACAGCGTGTACCCAAAAATTGATCTGGTATAATTGACCCTCTTCATCGGAGTCTACATGATACAATATCATTGGTCCATTTGGTTCCAGAACTACAGCAGTGTGGATGTCGAAGACCTGTCAAAACATGTTTATTCTATAGAATATCAAAACTTTATAATATATAGATAAGTGAAGGTTTTTATTACTGTACAATTTAATTACAATTTTATTTATATGATTTCGTAACATTTTAAATATACTGTTAGAAAAATTTCATTAACTTTAACCGATGATTGATTATCAGTTTAATTTTTTCTTGGCTTTGGAATTTTATGGTCTATTGAATGGGCACTAAATACGCGATGCTATTGTAGTTTCAATCTCCAATGTCCAATAAGAAAAGGTTAAATGGTTATAAAATATGTCGCGTGTAATCTATCGGAAATCTTTGGAAAGTTTTACTTCATAAAAGAAATCTAGTGATAACTAGCATTGCCCGCGGCTCCGCCCGCATTCAGATGACCAAAAACCAAATTCTTAGGTTTTACATATTAGTATACTCTTACAATGCAGTTTTTGTATTTTTTCTCAGAAATGAGATATTTTTCCGCGGTAAAAAGTATCCTATATGTTGACCCGGATAACCAGCTATTATCATACCAAATTTCATCAAAATCTGTCCAGTGGTTTTCTCGTGATGCGGTAACAGACAGACAGAGAGACATACAGACAGACAAAAATTCTAAAAACTATAGATTCGGACTCTGTATCGATAATAAAGTCTATTTCAATTAGATTTTCCAAAAAATATTTAATGTACAGATTCGACTTAGTTACAATTTTATTATATGTATAGATTTAAGTTAAAACGGTTAGTTGTAGTCGTTAAACTTACCATAAACGTTGGAATACAAAGGATAGGCGGTAAAATGAAACTGCTCAGAATAGCGGTGCTGCATCGCTTCTCTGTACATAGAACGTGGCTTCTGTCTGAATACCTGGGGGCAATTATACTGGTTAGAGAAAGCTCAATATGCGGAATGCTAATAATGCATTTGATTTTTAACACGGGGTGTATCAATATATGTGGCTTGTTATTACTTTGCATAATATTATACTTTGCTCGTCTGATTGCTGTTTTTGGTTTGATTCTATTATATATAAATGTAAATTAAAATATATATATATATTAGAAAGCATCGGCCTGAACCTTAAAAGATTAAAAACTTTTAATTAATATCCGAATTAAAATTAAAATTAATGTTTTCATTTACCAAGTTAAAAATAAACTTTGGCCGTTAAAAACTTTTTTTGCCAGCTTTTGAATTAAAGCTTTGTTTTCTTATATTTTGCATAGAGAATTTTACGATCCTATGATTCTGTGAATATACAACGTAGGTATATTTCCAATGCTATAAGGAATTTGATGTTTATACCACGTTTCTGACGTGTAGACTGAAATAGAGGCAGTAAGTAAACAGTATATAACAGTGCGAGTGATATTAGTACTGAAAACGAAATTTAAAATAATAATTGCTGGATATTTTTTTGGATGTGCTGTTTTTATAGTAAACTAGTGATCCACCCTTACTTTGCCCGAATACGATCCTGAACGCTGTTTGCATTTAAAATATTACATTACAGATTCGTTACTCACACAGCTCAAATATTTTTTATTCACTTTTTCCTAACCATGCATAGATAAAGAACGATATCGGGTATTATTTGAAGAGCAAAATTATTATATAATATTTAATTAATTATTTTTTGTTAAATTACATAAATATTTGTTTATTAAAATTTGATTCTTCAGCTTTAACAAAAACGAGCCCGTTGCAACAGTGTTGCATCATTTGGTCACTTAAGCTGATTTAAATCGATCGCATAAACATTGTCCTGTTAGGAAACACTAACGATTTAAAAAAAATAGCTTAAAATTCACAAATACATAGAATTTTCCGAAATACGTAACTATACAGTAGACTATAGAAAAGCTTAGATAGAAATCTAGTCTGACAAAACGCGTGAAAACGAAAAATACATATATTAACACTTGCATAGAATTAATGTTACCGTTAAAACTATTTTTAGTCAAAAATACTTTTGACTAAAGAGGTTGATCAAAAGTAGTTTTTACTGCAAACCTTGGTCAATAGCAGTTTTGACTGGCATATCGGTCAACACTCTTTAAAAGTTAAGAAGGTAAGTAGATTGAAGGTTACTCGAAAGAACCCTTTCTTTCTAGATTAGGCTAGGTTAGAACAGTGACCACAACGCACGAGCCGAGCGAACAAAGTGTTAGCGCCGCGGTAGCGGCCGGCGAGTGCCATAATTTTAAAAGTTTTGACCGATATGCCAGTCAAAACTGCTAATGACCAAGGCCTGCAGTTAAAACTACTTTAGTACTATTATTTTTAACTACTGTAATATATACATTCTTTGTATATATTTAAATGAGATTAAGCTTTTAAATAATTGTGTGTATAGTAGTAGGTACTCACTTTATTGCGACATATCTCCATACGGCAAGCGAGAGTGTGAGGCAAATCGACGCGGTGTGAAATATCTGTGCGAAATGCATATGGAAGAGGAGGTATGCAGCCCACTTATATGGCATTTCACGTTGACCCGGTAAAATCTGTAGCAGTAAAATTGATAAATAAGATTAAAATAATTAATTCATATTAATGTTACAACTTACAAGTAATAATAATAATATTTTATTTGCATAAAGACATTGTAGTTTTGACAAATTTTGTGGTCGAGGTCCTCTTTTAAGCAAATAATTTGCCTGTTTTAGGAGACCCCACTCTTTCTTAAGTAAATATAGTGTAAAGAAATATATATTTGAGTTTGGATAAATTTAAATGAAAATTAGTAGGTACATATATTATAGGTCCTATCCTGGATAAACAAATTTATCCCTGTAAATAAAGCCATCCGCGAAATACAAGTTTGAAGCAATTGTTTACTTAGAAACGTATCTAAATGAAGCCAGGGTGGGATCATTAGTTTATACATATAATAAAATTGTAACTAATTCGAATCTATACATTAAATATTTTTTGGAAAGTCTTATTGAAATAGTCATTATTATCGATACGGAGGCCGAATCTATAGTTTTTAGGATTTTTGTCTGTCTGTCTGTGACCGCATCACGGAAAACCTCCAGGATTTTGATGAAATTTGGTATGATGTTAGCTGATTATCCGAGTCAACATATAGGATGAATAATTTTTACTGCGGGAAAATATCTTATCTCTGAGAAATCTATACTAAACGTTAAAACTTAAGTAGGGACGAACCTGAGCGGAGCGAGGGTGAGTCGCTAGTTTAAAATATACAGGGTCATTTATAATTTACTGAAAACCTTTTGGGCACACTTTACAACATAACAACAACATCTGTAAGAAAAAAAATCTTAAATTTAACAAAAATAAAAATATTTTTATTGCACTTTCTAAACGGTAATAGTCTAACATTAGCAATAGAAAGTGCCTGTCTGGTGAAGGGGGAGGAGTGGAGGGGTGTAGGAAGCCGCGCTTCCTCATTTAAACTTGGCCAGATGCTAGAACTTTAAAGTTTAGAAGGTGCAAAAAAATATTTTTATTTTTGTATGAAAATAAAAATTTAAGAAAAATTATTTTTTATTGTTACAGATGTTGTTGTTATGATGTAAATAGTATATTCCCAAAAGGTTTTCAGTCAATTAAAAATGAGCCTGTATAATAGTGAAATAATCTTTTGTTATAAACAGTATTATCAAAAGCTTAATCTTACATGCACTTAACCGTTTATCTTGATTATTTTTAGATATGGGAACGTGATACCGTACTTTGTTTGTTCACTAACCTCATAACGAACATTAGCGATAATATATATTAAATAATATTAAAATCTATATCTAACTAAAAATATTAAAATCTTTACTTTAACTCTTAACTCTATCCCTTTAATAAGTATACTACAGGGTCAGACAGATGTCATTCTACAATCTTTCATCGTTGAATAATAGAAATCTGAAATAAATTAATATTAAAAAGTCATTTTTAAAACATACTTTTATATCATATAAATTGTGTAGTGTAATAAATTATAGGATTTGATTTAATTTAAAGTTTATTTTTAGTTATTTATTCGTTTTCTTCTCAGCAAACCCTTTCATTTGGTATCCATATTATGGGATTGCTTAAAATAAAAACATATTCCGCCTTCTTTGGGAGTCCGTTATATTGGATTTAGAATGACGTCACTTAGCTAATATGCATTGTTATCCAAACTAAACGGGTATGCAAAATTTCAGTTCAATAACCGATTGAACTGAAAGTTTTTTTAAGAATAACTTTAAAATTCCGTTCCAAGATCTGACACGAACAAACATACATACAAACATTGCAAGTTAAATAAGAGCTTGTAAAAAATATATGAGATCGACATATTATAATTCTAGGACATAACCATTAAAGTCATTTAATACAGTTTTCGAAATTTTTATACTTCAAAGATCTAAGTTAAGTATTTTATACTAATAACATAACCATTAAAGTCATTTAATACAGTTTTCGAAATTTTTATACTTCAAAGATCTAAGTTAGTATTTTATACTAATTTAACTTACTTCCGACAAGAGAAGATTTTATGATATATAAATATATGGTTAGAAATCAAGCGTAATTCAAGTTATTAAATGAATTAGTGATTGCTAGAAAGCTCATTTTAACATTGCATAACATTATTGTGATAACGAAGACATATGTAAGTATATGGATATATATCTGTATTTTTTTATATACTTGTATATCTTCTTGTCATTTATCTATGTTCCACGGGGTTCACCTGTACTTGATATTCTAGAATAAAAAATAAATCACTCTCATAATCATCTATAATCTACTGTTTATAATACGATACGATAACGAACACGTTACACATCGCGTTGCTGTAATAAAAGAACAAACCAACAGATAAATCTAACCATTTATCATATAGATAAATATACCTCTAAAATATCACGAAAGCAATTATACTTATCAAATTTTTATTTTTTTACGTTTATTTATTAAAAATAAAATTAAAAAGAGTCTTAAAAAAGAAATTGAGTTCTTAAAAAAAATGCCATTTCGGATTTTCATTATTTATGCAATAATGATGGGTAAACTATGCTGATATATATATAAATATTAAAGGATAAAGGAGGAAAAAAAATAACAGATTTAAAAAATATTTATTATTGAGAATATGGTGTCGAGTCACAAAATAGTCGGTAACGTAATATTTGGCTTGAATATCGCACATTCTAGCTAATTTAATTTTCACGTATGCATGTAAACTAAATATGGTAGAATTCCCAAATTACATAGAGCCTTTATTTAAACTTGTTCTTTTAACATTGGATGTTAGTTTGTGACTACGAGTGACTTAATACGATGGCTCTCAAAGTAAGTCTTAATAATATTATATATATGTCGAATTTAAAATATATAAAATTTTGAAGTGTTAGACATTTTTCATATGTAAATAGTTTAATTATAAACTTATGAAATATTATAACTGAAAAGTAACTGTGCAGTAAATTTAGTAATGTGATTTATAAAGTTATTTATTATATTGTCACGTATTATGTAAAAAAAATATAATTAAAAATAACATAGACGAAGAAACGCTTGATAATGAATGTGCTTTCATCAGATATACGAGTGTAGTATACTATAGAGACTCACCTTCGCTCCGTTCGGGTTTGTCCCTAGTTACGTTTTAACATTTAGTATAGATTTTTCAGATATAAGATATTTTCCCGTAGTAAAAAGTATCCTATATGTTGACCCGGATAACCAGCTACTATCATACCAAATTTCATTAAAATCTGTCCAGTGGTTTTCTCGTGATGCGGTCACAGACAGACAGGTAGACAGATATAAATTCTAAAAACTATAGATTCGGCCTGTATTTAAATAAGATTTTCTAAAAAAATATTAAATGTCTACATTTACATTACATTCTCTAGAATCGACTCAGAATTTTATTAGGTATATGTATAGATTATTGCACTCCAGAGTAGGGTTAAGATTTGTTAATCATAATTATTATTAGAAATCTTGATAAATTACAACCCAATGTTTATGAGATCTACCTATAAATAAACTACATCATTGTTCTCTGCAGAAAAAAAACACAGAGCAAGTTCAGAAATTATTTGACAAAGAGTAATTTATAAAATCATAAGACTTTAATTATTTTGGTTTCCAGGTATTAATTGTAGTGACCATTCTTACTCTATTTGTGACCACTATGGCACAATTTGGGAGTGGGCGTGGCGGATTGGGCGGTGGTTTTGGGCAAGGTGGTTTTGGTCAAGGAGGATATGGGCAAGGAGGATATGGACAATCAGGATACGGGCAAGACAGATTTGGTAGACAAGGTTTTGGATCAGGAGGTGGGCTTGGACAAAATAATAGGTTTAACCAAGGAGGTCAAGGTGGCGGATTTGGACAAGGGGGATTTGGTCAAGGTGGTGGATTTGGACAAGGAGGATATGGTCAAGGCGGCGGATTTGGACAAGGTGGTTTTGGACAAGGTTTTGGGCGATAATTTTTTGGACAACTATTATAATAATAATTATAAACAATTGCGAAAATAGGTTATATCTCAAGAGTGGTCGTATATAATAAATTTAAAGAAAGGTTTTCTCCCCATAGAGAATATCTAAAGTGATTTTGTCATAGATTTTGATACGGTTAGTCCTATAATACCATCATAATCCATACAGTCGTCTAACAAAGGCGTCTAATACAATCGTGCGAATAATGCAATCCCGACTGTCACACTTATGTTTATATGAACTTTGTTATACTTTGGTACTGTTAACTAGTCCGACACAAATGTGTTTTACAAAATCCGTCTACACTTCTCATTGTAAACAAGTTAAAAAATTTAAAATAATTTTATTGCAAGTTAATAATGTCTAAGCCTTAACAATTATTACATTTCCGTACTTTGATCTGACATTGTAAAAGAAAAATAAACAATTTATCTTAATGGAGATTCTTTTATTTCAATAATATGCACAGATATCTGTCTGGATCTTATGTGAAAACTTTGTGCTAGATGTAGGCAAAATAAATGGGTATAATGAAGTAAATAAGAGGTTTTTATTAGAAAAATAAATTTAAAGTAGGTACACGGTACACTGCTGATAAAGCTCTATGAAGCTTTGACCTTAAAAAGTTCTATTTAATATTTTCAATATTTATGTGAAGTTGTTACTAGAATTCTAAACGGAACATGCTTTATATAACTTTTAGCATTGAAAAGTATTAAACTTACAGAGAATTTCAAACGAACAAAATTCAGCAAATAATATTCAAGTTTGGGAACAAAAAGGTTAGACGAATAAAATGTCGAACTAAAATAAATAGCAGCATGAAACATGTACAATGTATACATATAATAAAATTGTAACCAAGCCGAATCTGTACATTAAATATTTTTGGAAAATCTTATTGAAATAAACATTATTATCGATACAGAGGCCGAATCTATAGTTTTTAGAATTTTTGTCTGTCTGCCTGTCTGTTACCGCATCACAGAATAACCACTGGAGGGATTTTAATGAAATTTGGTATGGTGATAGCTGGTTATCCGGGTCAACACATAGGATACTTTTTATCGCGGGAAAATATCTCATTTCTGAGAAAAAATACAAAAACTGCATTTTAATAGTATACTAATATGTAAAACCTAAGAATTTGGTTTTTGCTTACCTGAACGCGGGCGGAACCGCGGGCAATGCTAGTTCAAATTAATATAATAATGTATGGTTAAGCTGTGTTTTAATTAAAAATGGGCTTATATTATTACAATTCTTATCTTTGCGTTTTGCTGGAAAAATCCTTAGTTATTTTAAACTAGTGATCTGGTCTCATTATATTCACTTGCGTCCCTATGTTAGTTACTTATATTTCACAGGGACCACTTTACAGACAATGAATAAAAAGTTATTTGGGTCATATATTTATTATAACTAAATATTATATTTTTTTAATGATATTTTTCTTAAACTTTGTTAAAAATCAGAAATCTAAATATCTTCAAAAAAATGAATCTCAATGTGCTATAAAAATAGCGCTATTTTTTAATTCCAAAATAACTAAAAACCCAAGTGCACAACAAAAATAACACTTTACAAGCTTGTGTTATGTATATAAAAAATCACATCGTTTCATTGATGACACGATATGACAGCACGTTTGACTCAGTTTGTATTGACCCTACTTGCTGTGCCAACGGCCGCGGATTCAAGACCCGCTGGGGACATTCATTTCTGTGATGAGCACGAATGTTTGTTCTCCAGTCATGGGTGTTTATATAATTATAATATGTATGTATTTAAAGTTATATGTGTGTAGTGTATAGACTATCTGGTATCCATAACACAAACCTCGTAGCTTACCATGGAACTAGATGGTGCTGTGTGTTAATGTCCCAACATCTTTATTTATTTACTAGCGGACCCGACAGACGTTGTCCTGTCTACACGTCTTTAATTTGAAAATTTCAAACTTTATTTAATATTTTTTTTGATGAAAATTATTATTCAAATTGTGAATCTAAACCATTCCCAGATCCCCTTGAAAACACACAAAAAATTTCATCAAAATCGGTCCAGTCGTTTGAGAGAAGTTCAGTGACATACACACTCACAGAAAAATTATATATATAAAGATATGAAGGACAAGCCATTGAACATTTTTTAGCATTAACAATATATTACGTCAAATACGCTTAAAGCCTTTGACCTAGTAAGCAATGACATCCAGTCCGATTCCAAATAAGAAATCGCAAGTGTATGCGTATTATTTTGTATTTTATTCTAACTATTGTTAATAAAATTAACCATATGCTAATTATATCAGCCTTCCAGGTCATAGTGTAAATTTCATTCAAATCCGTCCAACGTTTCATCGTCAAGGAGTAACATTTCGCATATAAATGCGTATTAGTACGTAATTTGATAGTATATCTCATTATTTTTAGTTCAATGGTACACAACAAAGGAAGCTACTATCCTATATTTAAGGATATAAAACCTACAGTAATAAGCCTACACGAAAAACACAGAAGTAGTCGACAGGAATTGAACCCATGACTACCAAAAATAGGTGTTCTGGCGACCCAAATACAATTTTTATTTACAGAATATCTATGATATTCATTTATTAGCTATACTTACCAGATATCTATAAATAGCGAATGGCACGTACTCCATCATCACAAATACATCAGCTACCGCCAGCCATTTCAATAAGCGGTTGATGGGTGCTGCTGCCAGGTCTCGTCGAGTTAACACCGCTACGTTCAAAGCATTTGCCAAGCTGCCGAACAGACATACCTGTATAACATGGAATCTGATTAAAATGTATATGAAAGCAAGTTTTTAATAATTGTAATAAAAACATACATATAACAGTTCTCAAGAAATGTGGGTTTTAATAAGAACAAACAAATAAAACTTTTGAAAACTTTTCTTTTTTTTTATATAACAATTTTATATGAAATTATATGAAAATGTTACTAGAATACTATGAGTGAATAATAATAATGTATAGTGTCACGCTTCTTTGCGGGGTAATATATATATATATATATATATATATATATATATATATATATATATATATATATATATATATAGTAGAAAAATAGAGTGAAAACGTAGGTATAAGGTTTTAATTTTACCAAATTACAATGAGGATGGATAAATATTACTCGTATAAAATCGCATATCTAAGTGTTGAAATAACTGTTATTATCAGCAACATAGATTGTAGAAATGAACACGTCGAAAGTGGCGTACTTATGGATTTATATACTCGTATTATATGTAGACTAGATATAATTAGATTAATTACATTGTAGAGGTTCTCTAAGAGGCATCAAATGAATACCGCTTCAAATATGCTTATTTCGGAATCCATCTTCAGAAATTACTCGCCCGATTTAAAAAAATCTTGTTCGCTACTAACATTACTTAGGATGATGAGATGATCATATTATCTATACTAATATTATAAAGAGGTAAAGTTTGTGAGTTGGTGACGTTGTAATCTCTGGATCTACTTAACTGATTTAGATGAAATTTGGTAAGAAGACAGTTTAAGACCCTGGGAATGACATAGGATAATTTTTATCCTGAAAATCATCCCTCAAGGGAATGAAAATGGGGATGAAAGTTTGTATGGTGAATTAACCTAGCGACGAATTCAAGCGAAGCGAGGGTGAGTCGCTAGTGTAATATTATAAAAAACAGAGTTTGTTTGTTTCATCGCGCTAATCTCAGGAACTATGAATCTGATTTGAAAAATTCTGTGGCCCGTTATAGCCCGTTTATTGAGTAAGACTTCTTCTCCCTGCCCATTTCCCAATCACTTAGGGTCGGCGCAGTACATCTTCTGTACTGCTGATAGGATTTGGCAAAAGTTTTACGACCGGCCGCCTGCCTGACGTCAACTCTCCTTGGGAATATTGAGTAAGACTATAGGCTATAATATTATATCATATAATATTGTACAGTCAATCTATTCCATACTAACCGTTAAAACGTACCTAGGGATGAACACGATCGAAGCGGGGGTGAGTCGCTAGTATACAATATTATGTCTATAGTTCGGTTTGCCATTTTCATCGTAAAGCTAAATTTTCAACTATTAAATGTACTACTTAAGTCAGCTAGTTATTTTTAATACTGTTTTGGTTATTGTGCTCTAAGCAAAATTACAAATTGTAATATTTTTAAAATATTATACTACTGTCCTTAAACGGAAGCAAATGTCTTATAATAAACATGTGGTACACATTATTCTGATATATTCATATTTTTGTAAAGAGAGCAGCATAAAATATTTTATATTTATATTGTTTCATGTTTTCTATGAAACTGAATAATAATTCAAGTCAACGCTCCTTCTAAAGCGGAGATAATAAATTAGATTTTACGTTCATTATACGTAAATCAATTTGTAGGTATATGTATTTAATAATTTTGGCAATATTGTTATATAACAAACTACTACATTGTTTTCAATTATTTTTTATATAACTTTTTCTTGTTGTGGCAGTGGGCGGGGAACATCGCTCGTAGAACGGACCGGCATTGGTCGAAGAGGTAGGCCTCTCACAAGGTGGACCGATGACTTGGTCAATATCACTGGAGTCCACTGGATGCGGATGGCGTAAGAACGGTGGTCGTGGATATCTTTGGGGGAGGCTTATGTCCAGCAGTGGACATGTTTGGGCTGAGACGACGACGAACTCTTTCTTACGAGAATGTCTGAGTACTAAATACGTAATAATTCAATTAATTCAATACTACTTTTAATGACTTTAAAACGTGCCAGATGAACATATAAAATTTCGCCAATGTCAGACACTCCGAATTATTATATACACAAATCTTCCTCGTTTATCACTTTTTCTTATTAGTCTATATCGTATAAAAATCCGTTGCGTGATTTAGAAGAAGTAAGCTTAGAAACAGACAGAGACAGACAGCAATTTTGTTTTATACTAGGCATAATATATAGATGAGCGACTTGGACTCTGAACTAAATATTGCACTTTCCTATAAAAGTGAGAGATTTAACAGCACTAAATCGATAAATATGTTCATTTTTAACTACTTATACTTTTGGTATAAATAATTATTAAAATTATTGTGTGAAGAACAACTCAACTGAGTCAGTTATTATGATTTCCCGAGGGAATGAGAGATTTTCTATTGTAAAAGGTATCCTAAAGGGTCAATAGACCCTAGTAATAATTTATGACTACACACAATTTAGCGAAAATCTGTTAACTATTTTTTGTGTGAAATGCACACAAATATACAGACATATATTTAGATATACGGACAAAAATTTCAACAACGGTTGTTATGGGATCTATAATATTCAGTACGCAAAACGTAACAATATAATTGATTTAATTTAATCTATACATATAATAAAATTGTAACTAAGTCAAATCTGTACATTAAATATTTTTTGGAAAATCTAATTGCAATAGACATTATTATCGATACAGAGACCGAATCTATAGTTTTTAGAATTTTTGTCTGTCTGTCTGTCTGTCTGTTACCGCATCACGGAAAAACCACTGGAGGGATTTTGATGAAATTTGGTATGATGGTAGCTGTTTTACCGGGTCAACATATAGGATACTTTTTACTGCGGGAAAATATCTCATTTCTGAGAAAAAATACAAAAACTACAATATAAAAGTATACTAATATATAAAACTTAAGAATTTGGTTTTTGGTCATCTGAACGCGGGCGGAGCCGCGGGCAGTGCTAGTTATATTATATGTATACATAAAAAATAATAGCCGCATAGACTAAGGTACACTCTTCGCAGGCTTTTATAAATATCCGTAACTAGTGCTAATATTTGGATAGTTGCTATGGTTCCCATTATCGACCTGAACGGTAATGGTTATAAATAACCATAACTAGACACCAGTTGTGTTATTGTTATTATCGTAGTATACTAAAATGAAATTAACTATTCTAATATAATTTGAAATTTCAATTAACCTCGAGGGAAAGTATAAAATAGTGTGTGTAATTCTAGATTTATAATAAAATCGTAGAGAGGACATTTTGCGCATTACATTGTTTAATTATATCCTACTAATATTATAAATGCGAAAGTCTGTGAGGATGTATGTATGTCTGTTTGGGTGTATAGATGTATGGATGTTTGTTAGTCTTTCACGCAAAAACTACTCAATTGGTTTTAATGAAACTTTACAATAATGTATCTCATACATCAGAATAACACATAGGCTACTTTTTATACCGAAGAAATGCGCGGTTCGTGAGATAAATTTGAAACAAGCTTTATAATCGCCATTACAATAAGCTTTATATATATCACCGCTGGTATTTTTTTAAATGTCAGTCTGTTTGTTTGTATACTACAAAGAATAAGTAAATTACTCATGTATTATAGTATAATGTACTAATAAAAAAAACTAATAAAAATAATAATAAAATTCAGACTCAAGTGCCATCTATTATTGTACATTGATGGTATTTCTTTCTTTGTCTATATCTAAATGTTTGAAAATTGTTTAATGTACAAACATAACCTCTCTACGATTTTTATATGTTTTTTTTTAATAAATAGACCCACTGATGTGAAATTTATTGGTATAATGAATAATTTTATATAGGTAATAATTTGAAGTAATGACAGAAATAAAAATAAAATGAGCATCTATTAAATACAAACAAAATTTTCTTAAATTTTTATTGGGAGACTCGTCAGCCAATAAACAATTAAAGAAAAAAAAGAATTTACAAATAAATATCTTCGTTTACAATGAATATTCCTTAGTGATAATGATGTCAAGGACATTAAGCTATAAAAACAAAAAAATAATAATCAACGTACTATCGATCATTTGTATGAAAACAGAGCGTTAAGATATTTGTTAAAATGTACTTTGTGAATAAAATATGTATGCATATATATAAAAATAAATGTATGTCTTCCGTCTGCCTCAATTCTCAAGAAGGGCTGTCTTTTTTACCATATTTATATACCATACCATAATAACCAGTATTTTTTTATTATTTTAATTCATTTTCAACCTAATTACCATTTGTCTTGTCAGAGAAAAATTGCATGTCTGAGGGAACACAGCAATTGGCAAGCTTGGTGGACTATTGCCTGTACCTCCTGCATTGAAGACAGCTTCAAGCAAAACTCTTATGTGAATAAAGGCTTGAATATTTTTTTATCAAATCATTAATACGTAAATTACCTCACAATTGAATATAAAAATCACACGGAAATCATCATTGGAAAATCGGATGTCAGAGCACGATCGAGTGGCAAACATTAACATCCTAATTGGTGATTGTGTTCACAATTCATTAGCAATAAATTGTGGGTCGACGAGCTAAATAAGCGCTTTAATGGCTTAATGACAATATCTGTGGATTATATTTTATATTTATATATGTATAATATAGGTATAGTATTTGTTTATGTAGCTATAGTATTTGGGTATTGGTTAATTATATTTTACTTGTATTTATTTTGTTTATTATATTATATATTTGTATGATACGTATATGTATGCATAACTGCCTCGGTGGTGTAGTGGCTAGCATGTACGGCTGCACACCCGGAGGTTCTGGGTTCAAGTCCCGGGTCGGGCCAAGTTTAGTTATTGATCTTCCTGTATAGTAAGTCTCAGTAACAGCCCGGAGTTGGGAAGTTGGCGGTGTTTCACCCCCGTGCCTCGGAGAGCACGTAAAGCCGTCGGTCCTGCGCCTTAACTCTCACCGGTCGTGTCGAGTGGTCGTCCCACCGGAGTATGAGAGTGATAGGAATAGAGAGTGCACTTGTGTCTGCGCGTACACTTGAGCACTATAATATCTCCTGCGCAGTTGGCTAATTTCATTGAGATTGGCCGCCGTGGCCGGAATCGGCTAGGAGAACATCATCATCATCATCATCATCATATGTATGCATATATAATCTTTCTATTGTCTCTTTATTTGTTATTCGCGTCCCTTCTACCTTGGTACTATTTCCTACACCTAAAGTTTGCCTGGAAGAAATCACTCTTTTAGCGATAAGGCCGCCTCTTGTACCTTCTTCTATACTATATTGTATATTTTCTTTTTCTCTTTTTGGGTGTACATAAAAGAGTAATTCATTCATTCATTATATTTATTTGTAGTTTTTTCCACTTTGCCACACACTTGTCTATTCACTTATTTTTCCATTAATTTCGTAAACAATATGACCCACTTTTAGTGTAAAAAAAAACTAATTAACTAAAGCTTAAGTATTTTTCTTTAGAACTAACTCATAAGTATAATAAATAAAATATTTTTCAATTAGAAAATAATACGAGTATAAAAATGCAGCAAATGCTTCTCACGTCAAGGTAACATTGAAACGGATTAAACATTTTATCGTATAAAATATGTTTATTATTTTTATGAGTACATATATGTATATGTATAGATAGAATATATTGTTTAACAAATTTTTTCGACCTAATCATTTTTTCCCTTTTTTCCGGCTTTTCGTTGTTTATGCAAACTGTTATTTTTATTAAAAATAGTAGTGTACCTAAACTTTTAAGCATACCTATACTTTAAACGAATTCTAGCATTATTTGATGTGAGCATTATGCTTTGTTACTGTTTGATATTCCAATAACTTTCGAGTAAATTAAACAAAGTTGTAAAACATGACTGAAAAATGTAATAGCCATAATTTTCACGCTGTAAGCTTTCTCGTTGCTTTTACGTGATACTCATAAATTTAATGCCGTGTAAAATAACGTGTACCGTGAATTTTAAAATAAATAAGACTCTACGTGTTTTTTTATCTACATTCGTATTATGAAACTTTTTTGCAAATTTCCGTTGCGAAATATGAAAAAGTCCGTTTTACTCAAAATTTATATACACTATATTAGTAATAAGGATAAGTATCTTTTGTATAATATTCAATATAGCTATAAAATGGTATAATGAAATTATGTAAAAAAAATATGCTTAATAAAATCCATACATATAACTCAGATTTGTATTTGGACGACAAATGTTTGTTCGAATATTAATTACCATCACCAAAAAAGACCAATACACAGTCACAATCTGTATCTTCCCCAAAATAATTCATCATTTTAACATTTTATTACAATATTTTATACATCTATACTAAAATTATAAAGAGGTAAAGTTTGTGATATTGTGAGTTTGTGATGTTGTAGGGGGTAATCTCTGGATCTACTTAACCGATTTAGATGAAATTTGGTAAGAAGATAGTTTGAGACCTTGGGAAGGACATAGGATACTTATTATCCCGGAAATTATCCCTTAAGGGTGTGAAAATGGGGATGAAAGTTTGTATGGGAAGCAAGGTAGGGACGAACCCGAGCGAAGCGAGGTTGAGTCGCTAGTTATTAATAACTTACTATTAAGCTGACATATCCATGTATGCTGTTGTACGCCAGTATTACATCTCGGATGTCCCCATCACAATAATTGCACGTCGCTTCCGTAGGCTTAGTCAAATTCAGCTTAGATCGCCAGCCATCCACCAACTTGACCAATGTTCCAAAATCTATCGTATCATGGTTATTTTTAGTCGATTTCTCTTTTAAAACGGTTAAAAATTTCGACACATCAACACTCTTGTTTTCACTAGATTCGTCGGTCGCTAGTAACACTTCTTCGAACAAATTTGATAATGTCTGTGTTATGTTCGAAGTACTAATCTCTTCAAAGGCCATTGTAACTTCTTTCTGAGCAATTTATTTCATATATGATCGACTTTCAGGAGGACATCGTGGAAACTTCTCAAATTCCTGCAACAAGTTTAGAAAATTTGACTTTAAAATTACTATAAAGAATGTTTTGAAGTTTACGAGCAATTGTATCACCAAAAATCTTGATTTCACATATTATACGTCCTTTTATAAATATGTAGATTAAGTAATATGACACGTTAATCATCAAAAAAATTACATAAGACCGCTAACAATCAATACGTATCATTATCACATAGTATAGTCGTAGGCAGTGGTGGCCAATGGTTGAAGCAGATTTAAATCCCGGGTCTCGCACTTCTGATATTTTCATGAGCGAATCATTTCCCATATGATTACCATTTGTCTTACGGTGAAGAAAAACATCGCGAGGAAACCTGCACGTTTGAGAGAACCTAGCAAGTTTTCAATAGACATATAATGTCCGCCAACTCGCATCATCAGCGTGGTGGAATATGGCCTGATCTCCGTCGCATTGAAGGGAGGCCCATGTCCAGTAGTGGGACGTTAAAAAGGCCTCAACACACAATCTATACTTTAGTACGTGAAGAGAAAACTTTGTACCCCTTTTTAAGCATATGGCACGTACGGAGGTATATGGGCTTTGGCGTAGTTAAGGTTTATATGGGGAAAGACTGCAGAAAGCTAAAATTTAACTATTTGCATTTTCTTATAGTTATGACTCCGCTTATAAAATCTATAGCGTGATGTAAGATAGTCTACACTTTCGTTAATTTTATATTAATAGGTATTAGGTACATATATAAAGCTGAAGAGTTTTTTTGTCAGTATGCATGCTGCATTGCTGACATGGAAATTTTATATATAAGATTATATTGTTGCGGAGTTTTACAAGCTAAAAATGTGATTTTGATAAAAGAACCTCATTAACGTTCAAAGTTAATGAACTGTGGTCGATTTTCGACCATCGATCGATCACTAGTAACAATAGTTACTAGTGATCGATCGATTATAAATGAAATATTTATTTAAAACAGTTTGTTATTAAAAAAAATACAGGCGGGTTACTACATACTGGTACGATATTATGCAATTATCATCATCATGATCATCACATATTATAATAATAGTTAAAAAACTTTTGAGTCTTACTATTTTTCTAATACTTGCCACTTGGTTTTACTTAAAAACTTATTGTATTTTATTACGCATATCTTTCGGTACTTTACTATATAAAATGCATTTGTAGAAATACATGTTAAATAGTTAATTACATTTACAAAAACCTGATCGCATAAAAAGCATACTAAAAAGATGGAAACAAGATCACGTATATCCATCCTACATAGAATAACACTCTCGTATATTGACAATGTTCATACTACCTGCGAGTCTCGCTACATGACAAAATATCCATACTAATATTATAAATGTGAAAGTATGTTTGTTTGTTTGTTTATCCTTCTTTCACGTCGAAACGGAGTGACAGATTGGCGTGTTTTTTTGTGTGGAGATAGTTAGAGGGCTGGAGAGTGACATAGGCTACTTTTTACCACGGAAGTTTACCTAACTCCCACGGGAAGACACTTTATAATACAATCCAAAAAATATTTATGATCAGAATTACTTGAAACTTGGTATTAATGCTCTTCAATAAAATTAAATAAATTCGTGTTTTAGCATATTTCGAAATTCATCCTATAAGGGGGTAAAATAGGGAATGAAATTTTGTATGAAACTACCGTTTTAGAGATTTTTTGTAATTTTACGCGAACGAAACCGCTGGTTCTGCTAGTTATATTATCTATTAATCAATATTTACATACATATTACAAAAATAAATATTTAATGAAACGTCTATTTCTAAACAGGGTCTCAAACTATTTTCTTACAAATTTCATCTAAATCGGTTCAGTAGATCCAGATATTACCTCCTACAACGTCACAAACTCACAAACTTTACATCTTTATAATATTAGTACAGATTATCCAAATCAATGATTCATAACGTATAATAACACGAGTAGATACGGAAATTAATAGTAAACAAACATTAAAAACAAACTTTTATTTAAATGCTTTAAAAAGAATAAAATTAACTTTAAAATAAGTCAAGCCCATCATAATCAATTTATTAAATCATACAATTTATATGATGTAAAAGCTTGTCACGAGATTTACCTATTTTAAATATTATATTCTTGTTTGTCTACATAGGTAAATCTCGTGACTACTCTTTTGATATTCATATCATGGGGGTGCATAAAAAAACATAATCCGCCATCTTTGGAAGTCCATCATATTGGATTTAGAATGACGTTTAGTCAAATTTAACTTCCAAGATTTGATTACAGACAAACTAAATAAAAGTTTTTAATAATAAATCGCCATTTTGCGACGTTCGCCATATTGAATTTAGATTTTAGAATGGTGCCACTTTATTATATTTCGCTTATGGAACCCCTTTTATTTGATACCCGTATCATAGGGATTATTGCGGAAATGATAAATTGCTATTTTGAAACTTCCCCCATATTGGATTAAAAATGGCGGCATTGTATCGGGAACCATACTAGTGTGCCAAATTTCAGTTCAATCGGAAACTGGGACGGGTCAAATTTAACTTGCAAGATTCCATTACACAGACAGACAGACGGACAGATGAAACTAAATAAAAGCTTTTAAAAAATTAAAGAGACTGACTAAAGACATTACGCAAAAATGTATCTTTCTAGCTAAATGTAAACTATAGTAGTTGCCAACATCGCAATTTATATCAAGTGGGCTTAAAACTGACAAAATTTCAAATTTCCTCTTTACTCAACAATAAGGCTCTTATAGGTCCAACGAAATTTACCCTGGGAGAGAGTGAAGTCCCCCGTCTATTAAGTGCTAACCGCTGTACGAGTATACTCGTACCTTGCCGAATTATATTATGATTTAATTATTACAAACGTTTATTAATTTTGTATAATCACCCAATTGATATTTCTGTTTTCATGCTTGTTATCAAAAAGAAAGCTTTAAATATTTTTATTTTTTACGAGGGCTCCGCTCGGGCTAGTTTCTACATTTTAAGGTTAGTATAGATTTCTCAAAGATGAGATATTTTTCAGCAGTAAATAGTATCATAAATGTTGACCCGGATAACGAGCTATCATCATAACAAATTTTAACAAAATCTATTCAGTGGTTTTCTCGCGATGCGTTCCCAAACAGACAGATGAGTTTGTGAGGTTGTAGGGGGTAATCTCTGGATCTACTGAACCGATTTAGATAAAATTTGGTAAAAAGATAATTTGAGACCTTGGCAAGAATATAGAATACTTTTATCCCGGAAATCATCCCTTAAGGGGATGAAAATGGGGATGTAAATTTGTATTGGGAAGCACGACAGGGACGAACCTGAACGAAGCGGGGGTGAATCGCTAGTTATATTATAAATAAAAAAAATAAGAAATACAAAACGCAATTGTTAAAAATTACATAAAACAAAACGAAGTATATATAGTCAAAATTTATTTATTTATTTCTATATAAATTCCACGATATCATATTAATATACGAGAACGTGATCGTTTCTGTAGGAATAAGTTACTGATATAGATACTTATGATATGCATATTTCTGCTAACAAATTAGTTACGAAATCTCTAAGTGCTTTGGCAGGATGTGGGGTTAAATGGGATCGTAGCTTTAGCATTAAATAAGTCGTTAGAGTTAAGTGTTGTACTTCAATTTTTAACCAATTTGAATATTTCAAACTCGTATGTTTTATTGTTTAATTAGAAAAAATGTTTTTTTATACGAACAAATATTTTTTGTTTCATTTTTAACAGCTGTTATTTAATTAAATATATTAAATATTATATTTAAAACACAATAAATGTTAAAAAAGCACTTAAGTAAATATTTATTTAAAAATCTGTAAGAATTTAGAATAAAAAAATATTTCAATTCTAGTAGGTACTGTTAGAGAACTAGTAATATTTGAAAAAAAAATGTTCTAAAGTTAATTTTTTGCGAGCTTTTCTACGAGTAAAATAAAGCTCGTATTATTCTAGATCGGTTTAGGTTATTGCTATTGAAGTTTTTCATTTTTTTGATGATTTTAAGTTGTATTATCGCTATCAAGTGGCTTTCAAACATCGTAGCGCTGCTTGATTCATTTTAGTTATCAGATGGGTAAATAAAATATATTATGTGGCGTTCTACGAGTATAGTTCATAGGGCTTAAAAGCGATATCAATTAACTGCTTACATTTTATGAAAGACTATTTCTGGAAGGATCCACTGATTCACAGAATGACTACTTCTGTGTGAGTTAGTTTGAGGCGTTAAGAATCTGTAAATATTCATATGTTAACTTCAAAAGCCTTCTCGCTATCAATATATGCAATACGCACACTCAACCCAAAAATCATTTTCTAACCATAGAGTTGCTAGACTTACATCATAGAATCGAGAAGACTGTTATAGAGTATTTTTTATAAAGCCAGCGTCTCTTGTGGAGTAGACCGAGGTCGACGAGTAGTATAAAAGCTTTACACACATATCTATAGAAAGGCTACTGTTGGAAGTCATTAAGTTTTGGACAGCAATTAGTTTATTGGACCATACGAAAATACGATATTCCTTTTGAAGTTGCAGCGATACATATTGGCGCGTGTGCTGCCAGAACTGAACTATTATAAAATTGACAGAAACTACTCACTGACTAAGCATATTCATAACAAGATTCTGAGAATATACGCTGCTTCGAAGAATTATTATAGTCAATTTGAAGGAAGCCAATGAAATAGCTTATTGTGTTCGAAACGTGTATGTATCGTGTACGTTATCTACACATATAATAAAATTGTAACGAAGCCGAATCTGTACATTAGATATTTTTTGGAAAATCTTATTAATCTTATTGGAATAAACGTTATTATCGATACAGAGGCCGAATCTATAGTTTTTAGAATTATTGTCTGTCTGTCTGTTACCGCATCACGAGGAAA